AGCACATTATCTGCAAAGAGTGATGGTTTTGTTTCCCCATTGCCTAGTCTAATTGTTTCTATTTCTTTTTCTTCTCATTACTAAAGCTGTACAATATTGTAGTATAATACAGTACAATATTGAATAATAGTGGTGGTAATGGGCATCCTTATTTAATCCCTGATCTTACTGGGAAAGCTTCTACCTTATCCCCATTACACATAATGCTTGCTGATGGTTTTAAATAGATATTACATAACATTTTGAGGAAATCTCCATTTATTCTTATTTTCTCTAGTGTTTTTAATAGGAATGGTTATTTTATTTTGGCAAAACTTTTTCTGCATCCTTTGAGGTAATCAAATGATTCCTGTTGGTTTTGTTATTGATGTGGTAAATTACACTAATAGCTTTCCTAATTTTGAATCTGCCCTGCATTTCTGGTATAAATCTCACCAGGTCACAGTGTATTATCCTTGTGATAAATTGCTGTAATCTCTTCACTAGTATTTTATTTAAAATTTTTTCATTAATATTCATTAGGGAAATCAGTCTAGAACTTTTTTGTATGTTTTGGCTCTTTCTGGTTTAGAAATCAGATCATACTTGTGTCATAAAAGGAATTTGGTAGAACTCCTCCTTCACCTGTTTTTCCAAACAGTACTGGAATTAATTGTTCTTTAAGTGTTTGGCAGAATTCAATTGTAAATTCATCTGACCCTGGAGATTTTTTTCTTAGGGAGTTTATTGATGGATTGTTCAACTTCTTTTTCTGAAATGGGGTTATTTAAGTATTTTATTTTCTCTTCTGTTAATCTGGGCAATTTATATTTTTGTAAATATTCATCCATTTCACTAAGCTTGTCAAATTTGTTGGCATACAGTTAGGCAAAATAGCTCCTAATTATTGCTTTAATTCCTGTTCATCGGTTGTGAATTCACCCTTTTCATTGTTGATATTGGTAATTTGATTTTCTTCTTTCTTTTTTTAATCAAATTAACCAAATTTTATTTATTAGTTGAATAGTTTCCTTATTTTCAATTTTATTAATCTCTCCTTTGATTTTCAGAATTTCTAACTTGGTATTTAATTGGAGATTTTTAATTTGTTCTTTTTATAGCTTTTTTAATTGCTTGCCCAATTCATTGATCTGCTCTTTCTCTATTTTATTCATGTAAACCTTTAGAGATATAAAATTTCCCCTAAGTATTTCTTTGGCTGTATGTCATAAATTTTGGTATGTTGTTTCATTATTGGCATTGTCTTGGATGAAGTTATTGATTGTTTCTATGATTTGTTGTTTGACTCACCCATTCTTTAAGATTAGATTTTTAAGTTTCCAATTAATTTTTATCTATCTTTCCATGACCTTTCATTATATGTAATTTTTATTGCATCATAATCTGAAAAGGATGCATTTAATATTTCTGCCTTTCTGCCTTGGATTGTGAAGTTTTATGACCTAATGCATGGTCAATTTTTGTATAGGTACAATGTATCACTGAGGAAAATGGATATTCCTTTCTGTCCCCATTCAATTCTCTCCAGAGGTCTAGCATATCTAACTTTTCTAAAAATCTATTCACTTCCTTAACTTCTTTGTTGTTTATTTTTGGATTAGATTTATCTAATTCTGAGAGGGCAAGGTTGAAGTCCCCCACTAGTATAATTTTGCTCTCTGTTTCTTCCTGCAGCTCACTTAACTTCTCTTCTAAGAATTTGGATGCTATATCACTTGGTACATATATATTTAGTATTGATATTATTTTATTGTCTATGGTACCTTTTAGCAAGATGTAGGTTCCTTCCTTGTCTCTTTTAATTAGCCTTTTTTTTTTTTTTTGCTTTTGCTTTTGCTTTGTCTGAGATCAGGATTGCTATCTCTGCTTTCCATTTTTTTTTTTTTACTTCAGCTGACACATAACATATTCTGCTCGAGTCATTTACCTTTGCTATGTGTGTGTTTTTCTGCTTCAAATGTATTTCTTGTAAATAATATATTGCAGAATTATGGTTTTTAACCCACCTTCTGTCTGCTTCCAATTTATGGGAGAGTTCATCCCATTCACATTTACAGTTATTCTTACTAAATGTGTCTTTCTCTTCATCCTATTTTCCCTGTTTATACTTTTTCTCTCTCTTTTCACCCTTTCCCTCCTCACAGTGTTTTGCTTCTGACCACAACCTCCCTCAATCTACCCTCCCTTCTGTCAGTGCCCCCTCTTTCTTTTCTTTCCCCTTTCTCCTCCTACTTCCCTATAGGGTAAGAAAGATTTCTATACCCAGCTAAGTGTGTATGTTATTTCCTCTTTGAGCCAAATTCAATGAAAGTAAGGTTCAAACAATGCTCACCCCCCCTTCTTTTCCTCTACTGTAGTAGGTCTTTTGCACCTCTCCATGTGATGTAATTTACTCTGTTTTGCCTCCCCCTTTCCTCTTCTCCCAGTACAATCCTTTTTTACCCTTTTTTTAAATATCATCATATCAAAGTCAACTTATACCCACACCCTCTGTTTATGTATACCCCTTCTAACTGCTCTAAAAAAGATACAGTTCTCAAGAGTTGTAAGTATCATCTTCCTGTGTAGGGATATAAACAATTTAACATTACTGAATATCATATGTTGTTGTTTTTTTTTTCCTTTCCTGTTTACCTTTTTGTGCTTCTCTTGAGTCTTGCATTTGAAGATTAAATTTTCTGTTCATCTCTGGCCTTTTCATCAAGAAAGTTTGAAAGTGCCCTATTTCATTGAATATTCATCTTTTCCACAGAAAGATTATGCTCGGTTTTTCTAGGTAATTGATTCTTGGTTGTAATCTGAACTCTTTTGCCTTCTGGAATATCATATTCCAAGCCCTCCAATCTTTTAATGTAGAAGCTGCTAAGTCCTGTGTAATCCTGACTGTGGCCCCTTGATATTGTTTCTTTCTGGCAGCTTGCAATATTTTCTCCTTGACCTGATAGTTCTAGAATTTGGTTACAATATTCCTTGGAATTTCCATTTTGTTATCTCTTTCAAGAGGTGATAGGTAGATTCTTTCAGTATTTTACCTTCTGTTTCTAGGATGTCAGGGCACTTTTCCTTGATAATTTCTTGAAAGATGCTGTCCAGGCTCTTTTTTGATCATGACTTTCAGGTAGTCCAATAATTCTTAAATTATCTCTCCTAGTTCTATTTTCAAGGTCAGTTATTTTTTCCAATGAGGTATTTTACATTTTCTTCTATTTTTTCATTCTTTTGATTTTGTTTGACTGATTCTTGATGTCTCGTAGACTCATTAGCCTCCATTTTCCTAATTCTAATTTTTAAGAAATTATTTTCTTCAATTAGCTTTTGTACCTCCTTTTCCATTTAACCAATTCTATTTTTTAAGGAGTTGTTTTCTTCAGTCAATTTTTGTGCTTCCTTTTCTAAGTTGTTGACTCTTTTTTCTTCATAATTCTCTTGCATAATTCTCATTTCTTTTTTCCAGTTTTTCTTTCACCTGTCTTACTTGATTTTTAAAATTCTTTTTGAGTTCTTCTAGGAGGACTTTTACTGCTTGACACCAATTCATACTCCCCTTTGAGGCTTCACATGTAGGCATTTTGATATTGTTTTCCTCTTCTGAGTTTGTGTTTTGCTCTTCCCTGTGGTCATAGTAGCTTTCTATGGTAAGGGCTCTTTTTTGGTTTTTGGTCAATTTTTAAATTGAGCTCTTCTCCTAGAGTACAGGAGGCACTGTCACAAGCTTCTTGTGCTGGGGGCCAGGGGCCTGGTCACTGGCTTTCTGCACCAGGGCCCTTGGGGCTAGCAGGTTGTCCTCTACACTAGGGATGTCCAGCCTAGTCACACCTGTTGTGCCCTGGGTTCTGGGTCTGGCAGCTTGCCTGCTGCACTGGCGCTGGAAGCTTCACAGCTGGCCTGCTGTGCCACTGGCCTGCTGAGCCAGAACCATGGATCTGGGGCCTCAGTTGCTGATCTGTGCTGTGGCTAAGAGCCTCCCATTGGCTTGCCCAGACACTGCCTGCCCTGGGCTGCACTCCCTTCTACCTAAGTGAGACAGATCTTTCCTGAGGTCCTTCTAAGTTATCTTGGGCTAGAAAAATGTTTCACTCTGTCTTCAGTGGATTCTGTTGCTCCAGAATTCTTTGAGAAGCTTGATTTAGCATTATTTCCAAGGAAGGAGAGCTCAGGCAATTTCCTGGCTTCTCTCTGCCATCTTGTCTCTGCCCCAAATGTAAATTAATTAAAGGCTGGAACTCCCATTTTTTTTATCATTATTTCTTCCCCAAGTGCCTGATATGGTGCTTTGAATGTAATAGGTTCCCAATAAATAATTGTTGAATTAAATTAAATTAAACTGAATATAGACTATCAGAACTCTGGTAAGAGGCACTTTTGAATATAGAAACTTAAAACCCAAAATACAGAATGTTAGAAATGGTTAGAACATAGAACCGAAGAATATCAGAGATATAAGATACTTTAAACATAGACCAAGAGAAGGTCAGAACTGGAAAGTATTTTGAACTATAAAACACAGAATGTTAGGAAAAAGAATATATAATGTTAGTGATGAAGGGTCCTTAGAGAACATCACAAAATGAATAAAGTGCTGGACCTGTAGTCAGACCTATGTATAAACCCTACCTCCAATGTGACACTCTGGGCAATTCACTTATAACCACGCTTTTTCTCAGTTTCTTCATTTGTAAAATGAAGGGGTGGATCTAATTTGTGTCATTGGCTTTAAGATAACTTCTACCTCTAAAAATATAATCTTATGACAGATAAGTAAACTAAGGCTCAGACAGTGGGAATGACTTCTTTAAGATAACATAGTAAGTTAGCAGGAAAGCTAAGGATGAGGGAGGATCCATCTCTCTTGACTTCCAGTTCAGGGTTCTTTTTACTACTCCAGGCTACCTGTCAAGAATCACCTGGAATGCAGCTCTGGCTTGCCTAACACCTTAATTAATTACATTGTATGTGAGTGACATCATTCTGTCTATTGTATAAATTGAGTGAGAGTTCATGTGAACCTTAACAACTCACCAGAGACTATACCAGACCAACAAGAATGGCTTCCTCAGTCCTTCAGATGATAATGGCCATAGGACTGCTTACTTTGATTCTTCCCTGTCATGCTGGTGAGTGTTTTTGGTGTGAAAGAGGATAAATAGACATTACAGTTAATAAACAATTACAGCAGGACATAGCTTAAAGGGATTTTAGAAATTATCTAGTTCAACCCTTTCATTTCACAGAAGAAGAAACCCAGACCCAGTGAGCTGAAGGCATTTACCCAGGATTGCCCACAGCTATCTAATTAGCATAGAATACATAATGCAATGGAATATAATGGAATATGCCACCTGGTGTAGGGCAAAACCTCAAGACTAAGAGTCAGGAAAACAAGGCTATAGATTACTCATGTAACCTTGAATAAGTTACTTAACTTCTCTGGGTCTCAGTTTATTCTTCTGTAATATGGGGGCATTAGAATACATGATCTTGAACAATCTCTATATTCTGCTTTAAGTTTCAATCTAGCTATAATATCCTATATACTATGTGGAGGAATGAAATCTATGGTCTATGTCCTAAGATCTATGTTCTAAGGATATGCTTAGTTCTGATATGCTTTCTTCCATATTCCAAGGAACCTGGGACAGCTAGGTGGCACAGTGGATAGAGCACTGGCTCTGGAGTCAGGAGGACCTGAGTTCAAATATGACATCAGACACATAACACTCACTAGCTGTGTGACTCTGGGCAAATCACTTAACCCCAACTGCCTCATAAAAATAAATAAATAAAAACATATTCTAGTTTTGGTTTTTTTTTTAGGCAATTGGGGTTAAGTGACTTGCCCAGGGTCACACAGCTAGTGAGTGTCCAAGTGTTTGGTCTGAGCCCCTCCTGACTTCAGCGCGGTGCTCTATCCACTGTGCCACCTAGCTGCCCCATATAAAAACATACTCTAAAGAACCTTCTAGCTCTGACATCCAATAAAATATAAACTCCTTGATGGAATGGACTTTTTTTCTTTATATCTTCAGAATCTGGCATAGTGCCTTACACAGAGTAGACACTGTATTTTTGTTTTTCATGAATTAAATTTAATATTTGAGGTTCTGTGTTCTAGGTTTCCTTTCATTTCTGACATTTGTATTCTGTGTTGAACATTCTGTGCATGGAACTCTTTTCTGACTCTAACATTCTCTATTCTCTTTTTAAAGACCCCTTCTAATACTGACATCCTATTAATTCTGTTCTAATGTTCCTTATAACTCTAACATTCAATGAATAAAAAAACTATGAAACAGATAGTAATGTTGCCCAAGTTCCCCTTAGTGAGAAAAAAGCTAATGCTTCAGTAAAATATTATTACCATTCACCTCCCTTCACCCATGTTACAAAAATGACTGAGTCTCTGCTCTTGGTTTCAGATGATAAGCCAGTAGTCTCTGTTCCAAAACAAGATTCAGAACTCCCATCATTCTTAAATTCCCTGGGCACTGGAATCCTTGAGTCTGCAGTGGAATATGTTCTCTCCTCAATGGCCCGGAGATCGTAAGTAATGAGCCTACCTGCATCATCATCATCTCTCTCTCTTAGTCTCCATTTATACACCCTGAGAAGGATTGACAGAATGAAGTAGCATGAAAACAGGGATATTTCCTTCCATTGTGGGCTCCATCTTTGATCATTTTAGACTGAGATCATTCCTAGGTGTGATTGAGATCACAGTATGGCCTTTAGGACAACCTACCACCTTGAGGTGCTTTGCATGGTACACTTCTACTCACCTCAAAGGACCCGCATCAGGGACTTGGTGCCTTGATCTGGGTAATGCTAGAGTTGGGGCAGAGAGGAAACCACAGCCTTCACACATGTGGGGAGAGGGCTGGTGAAAGTTAATGACAGTCAGGACTAAGAGCCCCGGTTTCTTGGGCTCATCAAGTGGAAATAACATGGAATAAGGAGCAGGAATTAGTCAAGTAATGTATAAGTAGTTATTGACCATTTACTTTGCCCATTATCCTCAACTGGGTTTTGAGGAAATTACAGAAATAACTCACAGTCACCTGCTTTCAGAGCATACAACACATGTCCCAGGGGTATACTGCAGTCAGCTCATACTGGCTCTCTGAGTTGATTATTAAATTTTCAGCATGAGAATTTACACCTAAAAAATAAGTAAATACTGCAAATCAGAGCTTGATTTATTGTTTTGTTGATTGTCTAGACTTAAGAAAGGGATAAAATGTTAATAACGTAGAATAAATTTGTGTGTGTCATGCATACTTTATTTTGAAAGGTGGCTGTTAAACATTTACCAGTATACTGCTGAGCCCAACCCTATATATTTATAGATGCTCAGAATGATCTAATTAAAATCATTGAATATGAAATGCTAGATCTAGAAGAGTCTTTAGAATATGGAGTATTCTAAAGTGCCACGTTCCAAGAAGTTAAAGGACTTGTCCAAGGTCACATAGATATTAAGAAACAGCATTGGTATTACAATTCATGATTTCTGCCTCCAAATCAAAGGTTCTTTCTACTATGCCACACTCTTTCCAAAATGGAGATAGTGAGGTGGTGCAGTAGACAGAGCCCCAGGGTTCAGGAACACTTGAATTCAAATCCAGCCTCAGACACTTACTAGCTGTGTGATCTTAGGCAAATAACTTAAGCTCCATTTTCCTCAATTTCCTCAACTGTAAATCCTTCCAGGGTTGTTGTGAGGATCACATGAGATAATAATTGCAAAATAATTAGCACAGTACCTGATGTATACTAGATGTGATATAAATGTTAACTATTATTATTGAATGCACGATAGAAGATAGAAAACAGATTGTTAGAACTCCTGACACAGACACTTAGAGCCAAAATATCCCTCCTTGGAATATTGAGTATAAAATGTCTTTGAGGTCAATCTTTTTCATTCTCCTCACTCTACTTCAAGCACAACTAAATCTACATATCTTTCTTTCCTTTCAAGTGGATTTTCTGATGTGGAAGATAAACCAGAAAAGACTTCATAAAAAGAACTGGTGAGTTAAAGGTTATTTTATTTATTATTATTTTTTAAAGACACAGGGGTATCTCATGGGCCTAATTCCACTACTGATCCAAATAGGAGCTTGTTTTATGTCCTCTAGTTTGCTTTTCCTTGGGCAGTCTGGTCCCACCTACCCCAAACTCCAGGGGGCTGATCATATTGATGTCAAACAGTCCAATTGATATAGTTCACTGTAGCTCAGAACTCAAACTCAAGAGAACTACCAGCCTCAGTCTCCCTAATAGTTGGAATTATAGGTATGATTCTCCACTTGATAGGTGATATTTATAGCTTAATATGAGTAACCATTATAACAAGAACAATGATTGAATTAGAGTCGATTATTGAATTTCAGTCTAAGCTTTTCTATTTGCTAGTTGTATAACCAAGAACAAATCGCTTGCCCTTTCTGATGCTCAGTTTTCTCTTCTATTAAATGATAAAGAATAATCCCTGCCTCCCTCACAGGTTTGTTGCATGGATAAAATAAGAAAATTAATGGTAAAGCATTTTATAGATTTCAAAGAGCTTAAATTATAAGGTTAAAAAAATGGTGCTAGATTCCACCAGATTTTTGGAGGCTAATAATAAACTTTAAGAAAAAGAAACCACTCTAGAGTGATTTCATAGAATCTCAAAGATCAAAGGAATCTCAGATAGGATCTAATCCAATCCTTACTTGAATACCTTCTGTTGAGGAGAACTCACTACTACTTATTTTGGGATTGCAATTATGCGGAAGTACTTCCTAATGTCCAAAATCTGACTTCCCTGAAACTTCCTACATGTGCTCCTACTTCCTTGAGTTGACTTCAAGACTCTCTCCCTAGTAGACAGATAAAGCTGAACCTCCAGTCTAGGAATTCTCCTGCATCTTTGAAATGACAAATTGTAGGAGGCTCCACCAGGATCCTGACCCAAGAACTGTTTTAAATGAGTCGTCTCAAGTTCCTTATTCATTCACTCAGTTAATTGGCAGGGAGTAATAATAGGTGAAGAAAAAAGTTTCCAGAGAGGCCCTGCTCTTCAAAATCTATTGCACTTAGCCGGAGTGCTAGACAAAATGATCTGAACAGTTGTAGACAAAAAGACAAATAAAGACAAAAAAATAAAAGACAAAAGGACAAAAATTCCAAAACATCACTGCAATCACTTTGACAACTTTATGGAGAATGGATTCATAGGAGTGAGAAAAAGTTTGAATCAGGGAGGCCATTGCAAAAGTCTGGGAAAGAGGTGATGAGGTTCTGAACTAAGATGGTGCCTATGTGAGTAAAGAGCAGGAGATAGTTTCAAGAGATGTTCACAAGATTTGGCAACTGATTGTGGGGTGTGTGAGATCTAGAGGTAAAGATAACACAAAGTTTGAGAACCAAAAGTGGCATCCTTGACAGAAATAGGGAAGTTTAGACGAGTGGACTTAGGGGGAAGATAAGATTCTGTTTTGAACATATTTTGTTTGAAATGTCTATGGGACATCCAGTTTGAAATGCAACTTTTCAAAGAAATAGCAGAAACTGTGCAACATAAGTGCTGTAAGCAGCACCTATTGAGTATCTAGAAAGACATAATCAAATGGCATGAATTATACACAAGAGGCTCACTGTTCTTCATGAATTCACAGTCAAAATTGCCAAATTGCAAATATGAACCTCAAAATATTTTTTTAGAATTCAACAAATAATTTCTACTGCAACTAGAGCAATATCACAAGTAATACCATTGCCCATAATTGCCAAGATCTAACACTGACCCACAGAAACTTGCATTCAATTACAAAAACCAGTCATTTCATCAATCTGAGCAATAATAGGTCACCAAACATCACACACAAAAGAAAAGCAGGATAGTGACCTGTTCTATCAAATATAAAGATGAAAATGTGATAATTAAATAGTAACAATAATAATAATAACTGACTGCTCTAGTGATTTAGGTTTTATAAAACTTTTTGGTATGCACAATCTCATTTGAGATGCACAACAATCCTGTGAAGTGGGTGTTGTAGCTATTGTTATCCCTGTTTTGCAGAAGAGGAAACTGAAGGTCAGGGAGGTTAAGCAACTTGGCCATGATCACACATCTAAGTCCTGCCAGAGGCAGGATTTGAACCCAGATAACTCTAGAAGGATGGGCTATATCTACTAAAATGAAGTTAGAGACAAATGTTAAATTTGGTACTTAGGTTCAAAAAAATCACCCATGTCAATACAGGATGAGGGAGGCATAACTTGGCAGAAGCTCCTACAAAGACCTTAGTGGACTTAGTAGGCTTCAAGTACTATCTGTGTCATAAGAGTAGCCTGGCAGCCAAAAAGAAAATTAATATCATTGTAGACTATGTTAGCAGAGTTGATAGTCCCACTGCCCCATGCGCTGTGGGTAACAAAGCTTAGGAAGTACCATGACAAGTTAGAGTTTTAGAGGAAAGAAATCTGGCTATTCTGAAGATTGGGAACCATATCATGAAAGGATCAGCTGAAGGAATTGGGAGTGTTTCTCCTTGAGAAGAAAAGACTGGGAAAAGAAGTGGGTAAAGAACTACAATGGTGAAAATAGATTGGTCCCGAAAGCAATGAATGGAATTTACATGGTGGCAGATTTCAAGTTATTAAAAGGAAAGACTTGCCAACAAACAGAGCCCTATGAAAGTGGAATGGGTTGTCTTGTGAGGCAGTGACTTGACATCACTAAAAAACATTTGAGTAAAAACTAGATGCCACTTGTTATACATATTGCATGCAGAATACCTGGGGGCAGCTAGGTGGCACAGTGGATAGAATGCTGGGCCTGAAGTCAGGAAAACTCAGATTTGTGAGTTCAACAAATCTGGCCTCATATACTTACTAACTGTATGACCTTGGGCAAGTCACTTAACCCTGTTTATCTCAGTTCCTTATCTGTTAAAAAAAATGACCTGAAGAAGGAAATGGCAAACTACTTCAGTATCTCTGCCAAGAAAACCTCAGATGGGGTTGCAAAGAGAAAGACTGAAGAAGATCGCACAAAAAAATGACTTAACGACAAAGTACATAATACCTACTAATTTTCAAAATGACCTTTGTAGTTCCAACTCTAAGAATTCCATGAAGCAATAAACCAAACTTCCTTGCATCCCTTCGCAAGAAGAAAAAATTCTGCAGACTTCTTTCTGTCCCAACCCACAAATCTCTCCAAAATGAGGAGGAGACAACATAATCTCAGCTAAGCAGGTGCAGTGCCCAATTAACTTGATTGCCCAAACAAGTCCTACTTGTACTTCTGTTGAATCACATCCAGGTCTAAGTCTGAGATTTATCATGTGAAAATGCCCTCTCAAGCTCTCCTTAGATACACCTGGGCAGACACTGCTAGTGGAGGTGATGCTTGCAGAACATCACTCTTCCAATCCAGTGGAATTTAACTTGAAAACCTTTTGTAGAATCCCTGACTCTCTGACCTGAAAAAAAACAAACTTAGAACATAGGACAAAGAATATCAGACTTGGAAAAAGTCTTACAACATGGAATATTCATGTTGAAAAGAACCTAATAGAGGTAGAAAGGACTTCTACTGCATAAAATGGTAGATTTAAAATTTTTATTTTATTTTGCCTAGAAGGAAGCTCAGGACAGAGAACAGAGGATGTTGAATATAAAAGCAGTGAGAGAACAGAGAATCTAGAAGTAAACTTAGAGATAATTTAGTGCAAAACCTAATTGAACAGAAATCTTCTATACATTTATTTATGTCTACTACAGTATGTAAAAGGCCTGATGCTTGGTCCTGTGAGAAAAACTAAGATAAATAAGAGGCAGATCCTGACTTACAGGAGCTCATAATCTAGTAGTGGGAGAAGATGTGGGCACACAAACATTACATGAAACAGACCATGAGTGGTAAGTTCATAAGAAAACAATGTGCTATTTAAGGTCTGATGAGAGGAGATAATTTGTAAGGAATCAGGGAAAGGCATCTGTAGTTGGCATTTAAATTAGGCCTTGAAAGTTGGCAAGAATATCAATAGATATTGATAGATGGTTCCCAGCAGAAAAAAAGTGAGCAAATCAATTTGGTTGAGGTATCAGAAATGTGAAGAGCAATGGGTGATGAGACTGGAAAAGTATTTAGCAGTAGCTTGAAGAAGGTTTTGAAAACCAGAATAAGGAAACTGGCCTTTGTCTTCTGGGCAATTGTTGTTATTGTTGTTGTAACTGTTTAGTTGTATCTGACTCTCTGCGACCCTGTTTGGGGTTTTCTTGGCAAAAATATTGGAATGATTTGCCATTTCCTTCTCCAGCTCGTTTTGTAGATGAGGAAACTGAGGCAAACAATAACTTGCCTAGGGTCACACAGTTAGTAAGTGTCTGAGACAGGATTTGCACGCAGGAAGATGTTTTCCTGACTCCTGGCCAAGCACCCTATGCGCTGCTCCCTCTAGCTGCCCTCTTCAGGCAGCAGTGAGCCACTACAGCAGGGAGGCTTAATTTGAAGTCATTGAACTTTTGAAAATGTATTTTGATAAATATCTTTCAGTTTAAGTGGTTTCCTTTATAATTTTGTGTATTTTACATATTTAAAAACATAATTCAGAGAAGGGGTTCATAGGCCTTATCAGACTGCCACCAAAAAATGTAGAGAATCCCTCGAGTAAAGGTTTCTGAGACATGGAGGGATATGCTCAGAGATGGGCAAGAGAGATCCAAGGAACTAATTCCAAGGGATTAAAGGCAGAGAGACCTGTTAAGAGACTGTTGCAGTAATCTAGGCAGGAAGTAATGAAGGCCTGAGGTTTCCTGGGAACCCTGGGAATTCCAATTTAACAGAAACCTAACCCAAAGGACTGAAGGTCTAATTTTAAATCTTCATGCACAAAGCAATTTCAAGTGGAGGCTGTTTCAGGCAATAAGACCTTCCTAAGGCCAACCAAAACCAAAAGTTGACTATCATCTTCTCCCTTGAAGGAGGAAAAATATATTTCCTTTAAATAGTGGCCTAAAGATGACATGAGCTGGAGGCCCATCTTCCCTTAAATGCTCTTGCTAATGAATCATGGACCTAAAAGTGGTGTCTAAGAACCTGGAGATCCATCCAAGATATCAAAAGCTTAGATACTATTGAGTTTTATCAAGAAGGAAAATTTCCCACAAAGTGGGGAAAGGCTTTGCTAGAATCATAAAGTAGATCAATAATGAAGCCTTCCAAAGAATAAATAGGGAGATGCAGCTAAATGTGGGACCAGAGCCCTAACCATTGCCACTCTAACCATGAGTCAGGTGACTTAGATAAACGTATACACAAAATGCTCTTAAAATTTTCAAATGACTCAAATCTGAAAGGGGTGTCTAATATACTGTATCATAGTCAGAACTCAAAAGGATCTTGACTGGATAGATAAAGCATCAGGTTGAATTTAGTAAGTTGACATTCAATATAGATAAAGATAAAGTTCTATGTTGTTGTTTAGTCATTTCAGTTATGTATGACTCTACATGACTCCATTTGGAATTTTCTTGGCAAAGATACTGGAGTGGTTTGCCATTTCCTTCTCCAATTCATTTTATAGATAAGGTAATTGAGGTAAACAGTGACTTTCCCAGGGTCACATAGCTAGTGTCTGACACAGGATTGGAACTCAGGAAGATGTCTTGTTGACCCGAGGCCCAGTGTTCTATTCACAGTACCACCTAGCTGCCCCTAGGACATCAGATATGTCCTAGAAGAATTCAATTCAGCATGGAAAGTATGATGCCTAGCACTTCTTAGTTGGTAACATGTTGGAGCTTTCTTACACCCTCTATGACACTTTATATATTTTGTAATCGTATTACCATCTAGCTATAATATATCAGTTAAGTTTTATTAATGGATAATTGATGTTATAAAAGTCAATTAATGTTTTACAAAAACCTTGATTCATTTTTAGTTTTGATTAAGCAGTGATTCATCTATATTAGCTAATTATTATATTTTATTTGTTAACTAATTGAATAATTCATTTGAATTACCCAAACGATAATTAATTTATATCATTTAAATCAGTATGACAAGTTTGTTGGTAGTAATATTGTTTTTGTTTCATCTCTAAACAATGCATCTGACTAATGGCTTTTGTTTTTCTTCCTAGGATGCCAATCTCAGCTCCTCAACCAGACCAGGCCCCTCCTTTCCCTCAGCTTTCCTGGTTGTCCAGCCCAGAGACCCTGAGCTGCTGTTATTGCTTTGGATATCAGTAGCTCCAGTCCCCTGGCTCAGCCTCAGAAGATTATGTGTAAATGATCACTCTTCCCTTCCTGGAAGACAAAATAAAGTCCATAAACTCATGATATTGAGTCATTACAGTGACAAGGTATTTCTCTCAATGTGTTGATGCTCTTGATATAAAAATATCAGCACCCCACTGATAACCACAATAGGCACTGTGTCTAGAAAAAGGAATGCTTCTCAGGAACTCCATTTCCAGAGAGCTGGGCCCTTTCTTTGGGAGTCAACATGCGCTATATCGAAAAGTATGCTGAGGAGCCCAGTATCCTTTGCTTCCTCCATTAGATTCCATCATGACAATGTAGTAATTGTGATGGAATTTACATTTGATGATTAAAGGTTTCACATATTTAGAATTATATTCTCTCTTGTAAGATCTCTTTGAGCTCTGACATTCTATGCTCTGTGTTTTAAGGCTCCTTCCACCTCTTGGATTCTGTGTTCTATTACAGCTCTGAGATTCTGTGTATGGTGTTTTAAGACTCCTTTTAGCTTTGATATTCTGCAGTTATGTGACATAGTCCCTTTCTAGCTCTGGGCTCAGTTTCCTACCTACTCATCATCCCAAAATGTATCAAAATATGGAAAGTATGTCAAAGTGATTTGTTCTTAAAATTATAGTAATAATATGTCAATGTGCTTCATACTTAAAATAATAATTATTATAATTTTCATTATTATTATTTATTATTATTATTTTGTCTAGTTTTAATGCCACCTTCTGCAGGAGGTATTTCCAATCTCCCTAGGGGCTGGTGCCTTCCCATCTGACATTGTATCTGCTTTGTATGTGTCTTATATATGCCTGTATATTTATATTTTTCCTCTGTCCTTAGAATGTAATACCCTTGAGGGCAATGACTCTGTTGCCTTTGTCCTTGAATCTCCAGTGATTAGCACAGTCCTTAGCATGCATAAACATTTTTAATAAATGTTAAGTGATCACTTGCTTATTTGCTAGCTTGCTTCATTGGTTAATAAATCTCCAGGGCTTCTATAGTTCAGGATGTTTAGACATGAGCAAAGCAGGAAAAAGGGAGTCAGAATAAGAGAGAAGAAGGAGGATCTGGAAGCATCTAACCACAACTGCTTTTGTCATAATGCTATAATAACACTGGATTCATGAGGAATAACACCTCATGAAAGATAGAAAAGAAGTTGTATTGGACCAGATTGCTCACTCAGACTGGGAGTTGGGGGGCCAGGGCAGGAACTATCTTTGGGGGGAAGAGGGAAGAATTAAACTAATACAAAAAATTAAAAATTAAAATTAAAAGAATTAAACTAATACAAAATTAAAAACTAATACAAAAAACAAAAAGACTGATAAAAATTGATGTCAATTTATTTTTTAAAGGAGACCACGCTTTTAAAAATGAAACATGAAAAAAATCACAAATGGAAAATAAAAATATTAGAAGCTATTTTGTCAAAGTATAGGACAATATAGCTGAAAGCCTGAATGAAATGGATGAATAGCTACCAAAATATAGAATACCAAAACTAACAAAACTGGAAATCAAAAAATCTGAATAATCTAATCATAAAAAGAGAAATTGAATAAGCCATAAATTAACTCCCCCCAGAAAAAAATACTCCCCTATCTATGTAATCTTCCCCATTAGTCTTCCCAAAAAAGTTTCAGGAACTGTCTTTGTTTTTGTATTTGTATCCTCAGCAATTAGCACAGTGCCTGGCACATTGCAAGTACTTAACACTAGAAGAACCAAGCTTATCAATTGGCAAGGAAATATATTTGATAATAAATCTTTTCTTCCTCCTATCTGTGCAAATGTGCTTAAATACAAATAATTACAAACAGATATTATAACTTTACTTTGAAATAATGTTTTTCATCCTCTTATCTCTAATTTCTTTGCATTTATGGATAAAAAAAATGCACTACATCAATTAATGTGACTTCAAGGTTTTTGAAGGTTTTCTGAAGCATTCTTCAATTGCTTTTCATTTATTCCAATTCCAGCACTTTGATGGTAAGCCAATTGTCCTAGGATAATGCAAGGCAGGCAATGGATGTGATTCACCTAAGCCTCAGGTTTTTGAGCTAGATTCACAAAGAACAGGTCACCTTCAGAGGGAAAATGTAAAGCAGGAGTTCTTAACCTTTAAAAAAAAAATTAATCATGAACTCCTTTGGCAATCTGATGGAGTCTATGAACCCCTCCTCACATGATGTTTTAAAATCTCAAATAATGTTTTAAATTAAAATACATGGGATTACATAGGAAAATATATTGAAATAGGTGTCAAAATATTTTTGTAAAAAAATAAATTCCTAGACACTAAATTAAGAACCCCTGATACAGAGGAGTTGGGCAAACAGAGATTAAGAGGAGAAACACAATGCCATGTGCACAAACACTCTGCCAATGGGAATTGGGGCTCGGATATGTGAGTTTTCTTTTCATCTTGTCTCAAATGTGACTTTCACTCCACTTCCTAGTCACCTCCACACTATTTCTCTCACCCTCACCCTTTTCTGGGTCCCCATTATGTATTAGCTACCCCCACTACAATGTAAGCTCCTTGAAGGCAGGGACTGTCCAACTTCCTTACATTTCCATCCTCAGCACTTAGTATAGTGCTTGAAACATAGTAAGTCCTTTACAAATGCTCTATATCTGCTAATCTATCTACAACCCCTATTGTTTGCCACAAAACTGCAGTGTTTGAGGGTATCAAACCAGAGCTAGGGAAGACATGAATGTGGAGGCAGGAAGGAGCCAGGGATTTGCAGAGCTACCCAAATAACTGGTTTTCCACTCCTCCAATCTATTTTTGAACAGTTGGCTGATCAGTCTAGCTGGAAACTAAAGAGACCTTGAGTAAGGGGAGGGGGAGGCAGAGAGGAAGGGAAGGACAGGGAATGAGAGCATTATTAATCTTTAAACTGCTGAAAGTATAGGACAGGCTGCAAATGCAGCATATGTATTCCCTTTCCTCTCCTTGCTTCTTTTCTTGTCTGCTTTAGTTATAAAATTTCTAAGATGAGCTAGTTGATCTAGCATTCTATGTTTTATTGTCCTCTGAAGTCTGACATTCTATGACCTGTGTTCTTAATAGTCTCTTTCCTAAAGACCTTAGTTCTAATGTTCTAAGACCAGTTGCATTTCATGTTCTATATCTCAGGCCCTTACCAGCTTTCATAATGGGAGATCCTTTGTGTTTTAGAGTGGTGTGCAAATCACCTAAAACATAGTAATTTTTTTTTTACATTCGTAAGTTGTACAACTTTTTACATCTTAAAAATTTTTTTAATATGCTGTCTGTCCTCCCTTTGTTTCAATCACTTGCTTTGTACAATGTCACTGAGTTCACAAGATTTTGATATATACTCTTTAATTCTTCAAGATGAAACCACATTTTTATCATATTAGACATTTAAATGCATTTTAGCGACCAGTTTATTTTTCCAAATTGAACCTTGATTATAGCCATGGATTTTCAATCAGACAAGTTTTCACATCATTGAGGAATGCTTATCTCCAATTATTGGATACATTTCTCAGCCTTTCGTGACACCTGGCATGGAGCAAAGTTGTGGTTCAGTATTTCATCTATGCTGGTATTTTATATCTCCTTCTTCAGTTTGTATTTTAAAAATAATTTTTAGTTGTTAATATAAAAATCATTTGAATAAGTTTTAGTTTCTTGGATTAGTAAAAATATTTACCTTTGTAAGTGAGTATTAAATAAATGTTCAGTTTTTAAAACACAATTCTCTGGGTATACATCCTAATGCAATGTTTTGTGCATACCAGTCTTTGCCATTTCCATAAGGTCAAGCAGAATTCTAGTGCACAGTTTTTCTCCTAGTTTCCTTAGAGCATGGCTATAAACCCCATTGGTTTTTAATCTGCCTAATTGCTTTCCTTTTATTCCCTCAGACAGATTGGGAGATGAGTTAGGACCAAATACTAAAGTCTGCTACTTAAAGCTTTGCTTTGTTGCTTCCTTGAGTTTCCTCCATGAACAGATTGTTTTAATACACCATATGATCATTAAAAGTGAATTATCAAATCATATGAGTTGGGAGGACTTGACTGAGGTGGTGAAGCTGGTCCATGAGAAAGGATGGCTCTATGAGTTGAAGACAGATTTTGCATTTTGGGGTAATTTGAGGCATATTTTAGATCTGTGATCTCCAAACTCTTCACTCACAAACTCCTATCAATAAAAACATTTTTAGCACACATACCCTAATGTGTATAAACTAATGTTTAAATTACATATTTGTTATATTGTATTGATAGTTATGTACATTTTAAAACCAAAACAATAATTTAAAAGGAGAAGATAAAGATGAAATATGTTAGATCTTAGTGTTAAGAGGGAACCATCGAAGTTTGTTGAGTTGAAGACTTACTGTGTGCCAGACACTGAGCTAAGTATGGGTCAGATCTGTACTTTTGTAAAACCACTTTGGTAACAGTGTGTAGAGGCTGGATCACAGTGGGTAAGAAACTTGGGAAAGGGACACCAGCTAGTGTTGGGGCTGAGAGAAGCAGGCAGTCACAAAAGATGCAGGGGTAGAACTAATAGGATTTGACAGCTGTCTGATTTTGTGGATGTGAGGTGAAGGAAAGTGTGGCATTAAAAATGACAATAAGCTTGTGAAAACCGAAGAGACTGGAAAGATGGCAGTGCCCTTGATGGTAATAGGGAAGTTAGGAAGATGAATAGCTTTAGGGGGTAAGATAATATGATGATATCTCTTATCTAGCTGACAACCCCTCCATGCCTGCTCATCCTGTGTGACTCGTTCTGTCCCACACAAAATGAAAAATGCAGAGGCAGCAATCTTACTCACCAGTAGCTACCCCTAGTTCAATCCTCCCTCTAAGAGACACCTCCTGCAGCCAAGAGGTGATCTGAGGGCCAAAGAGTGGGGGGAGCAAAATTTTCCCAAAGGCATCTAATCATACCCTGCTCAGGAGAGGAGTCAGGATTTTACACAGCCCAGAGAGGTAAGAGAGTGTTGGGGAATAAAGACAGGTGTAGGTGTCTTGGGGGATAAAGATATTTGTGGGGGTGTGGGACACAAGCCCTTCACTGACTATCACAGCAAGGGCTAGATATATCCTATCCTTCAAGTGTTTGATCACAGGCCCCACAGGGTCAGGATACGTTTTCTGCTCCCCCTGAAGGTGATTTCTAGACCTTCAATTTGGAGACCACAGTTCTGCAATATACCACTAGGCTTACATTGGAAACCAAGGGCAGCTTTGGTTTTGAACAGGGGGGAGACCAGAAGCTACTGGAGAAGTGGCAAGAGGCTAATCACAAGCAGCTTGCGTACCACCTGGTGGCCAATATACTATATCTCCATCGATTAAGTATCAACAGATCACAAAAGAGCCTGCTGCTTTTTGGACTAGTGAAGAGCAGGGACACAGGATAAAGGCTTTTTGCATTTATTAGTAAATTCCCCTTTTATCACTACTTGACACTAACTACCCACATCCTTGTTACATGTGTATCCCCTGAACAGATATTGAGAGACTTTTATAAACCTGTTACATTTGTATCTCCAAAGTGGATACTGAAAAAATTCTCTAGCAAAACACATCATGCTTATGAGGTGAATATTTTGCCTCATCATTAAAAAAAAAACCTGAACACTTTTCTTGTTATAAACTTAACAGAAGTTTCTCTTCTAGGCTACAAATCCAGTCCTTACCACCAAGACAGAGGTCCAAGTCCAGACCCTTACAAAGCTTTATGAACCCTAGAAGGGGGGTGGAGGTGGTTGGGCAAAGTACAAACAGTTTGGAGTCCAGAGACCTGAGCTTTAGCTTTGGGTTTTCCATTGGGACACTATGACCTTTAACAAGTCATTTCTCTCTCTAGATTTCAGTTTTCTTCTCTATAAAACAAGGGGATTGGACTGAATTAGTCCTATGCTGTCTCACAGACATCTGAGAACTGTGTT